AGCAGCGAACCCCGCTGTTGTACTGCACTATGCTCCCTCTGTGCTCCCCGTCTTTGCCAACCCGCACCGAACCAACGTTGGTGAAGTATGGTTAAAAAAAACCCCATCACTCCCACGGCGCTCATCCAACAGTGGAGCGGCTCAACGCGCTGTGAACGCAACGTGCTTGGAACTTTTCCAATGAAGGTTGAATGCACCGATGAACCACAATTTGCCTGTCCCATCGGTCCTGCCTGTCTGTGACTGGATGGGGTCGCCACGACGGCTGTCGTGTCAGATGGTGCAAATATGAACAGAACTTTTATTCGTTGATTCTTTCGGCAAAGTCACGTAGGTATCAAATAAAATAAATCACGATGTTTCGATCGCAACACAAGCGGTCGTCCTCAGGCGGAAAAAAATATAATCCAGCAGTTGCGATCGAAACGTCGTGACTTATTTTATTCTTCTACCTACGTGATGACTTTACCCAAAGAACCAAAGAGCATGGATTCCTGCAGTGACGAAAGCTTCAAATGAAGATTGAACCTGTTTTATTATGAAGCCGCGTTTTGCTGCGAGGGGCTTGGTCTGTAAAAAAATCCGGGCAAATGTATCAAAGGGCCGGCCATAACTCGGGTTTTTAAAAAAACAACAACCACACACCAAATGGACCCAGCCACAATTACATACACACAGGCGGCATCTTGGCACACCGAGATGTGCCATTCTTTGTTATGCGCATCTTAAATACACACACACATACATTCTTTTTTAGTTGCTGCACGAGTCAAAAAAAATTGTTCCCCCCTCCTCCCACGCCTTTTGTGTGCATCGCCAAGGAAACTGTCCTCTTCGGCAAGAGAGAGCGCGCCCATGTGTTTCACATCAAGGCGCGTGGCACCGTAGCCACGCGAACACAGCAGCGCCACATGTTGTACAGTCAGGCAGCTCGCCCGCCCCGAGGCCCCTGGAAAACCACCGATGGAGGAGGCGGCGACGGCGGTGATGGCGATGATGCCACCCGTGATCTCACCGTGACATTGACGCGCAAACGCAGGAACGCGTTGTCTGTGTGTCTCGCACCGTGCGTAGCCGCCCGTTGCTCATCGGAGGTGCGGGGGAAGGACGACAAACGATGAACCCTCACACCCACTCCGATGACGTTCCGACGTTTCGCCTCCACACCTTCCGGGAATGTTTTCTTCGCAGTGTGTTAAGTTAAGAAATGCTTAAGAAAAGAAGAAGTTAACGTTTTAACTATTTTTTTTTAACCAGGCAAAGCCTGCTGAGCTACACAGACATTGTTCAGAAGCGACCTGGCCACAAATGATAGCTCAACAAAGTGGATTATCATCGTCCGGACATTTACAGCAACTAAAAACTCTAAATCTTGAGTTTAATCGACGACAACTAAGTCCAGGCCTGTGGATTCCATGGTGTCCTTCCCATGGTCTGGGGAACGTTTAAGTCAAATACTGTGAGCTGCAGAACAGCATTCAATGTTGGAGCGAGGAGCACGCAATTTCCTCCACCCTGATTCATTTTCAAGTCAGCCAATCGGTGAACTCGGCGAATCTACACGCGTACACATACGGTACATAGCCAGTCGCCATGTTGGTCTTCCTAGGCGTGCTGTCGTCACGGTTAGTTCCTCCGCGTCACAGTTCCGTCGCGTCACGGTTCTGTCGCGTCACAGTTAGTTCCTCCACGTCACGGTTAGTTCTGTTGCGTCACAGTTCCTCCGCGTCACGGTTAGTTCTGTCGCGTCACGGTTAGTTCTATCGCGTCACGGTTAGTTCTATCGCGTCACGGTTACTTCTATCGCGTCACGGCTAGTTCTATCGCATCACGGTTAGTTCTATCGCGTCACGGTTAGTTCTGTCACGTCACGGCTAGTTCTGTCGCGTCATGGTTAGTTCTGTCACGTCACAGTTAGTTCTATCGCGTCACGGCTAGTTCTGTCACGTCACGGCTAGTTCTGCCACGTCACGGTTAGTTCTGTCGCGTCACGGCTAGTTCTGTCGCGTCACGGCTAGTTCTGTCACGTCACGGCTAGTTCTGTCACGTCACAGTTAGTTCTATCGCGTCACGGCTAGTTCTGTCACGTCTCGGTTAGTTCTGTCGCGTCACGGTTAGTTCTGTCGCGTCACGGTTAGTTCTGCCACGTCACAGCTAGTTCTGTCACGTCACAGTTAGTTCTATCGCGTCACGGTTATTTCTGTCGCCTCACGGTTATTTCTGTCGCGTCACGGCTAGTTCTGTCGCGTCACGGTTAGTTCTGTCACGTCACGGTTAGTTCTGTCATGTCACGGCTAGTTCCATTGCGTCATAGCTGGCCTGAGTCATTGACTAACCATGACGCGATGGTTAGTCAATGACGTCATTGCCATGCTCGCTGCTCACCGTCCACGTTTCCAAGTGATCACGTACTCAAATGAAAGTACAAAGTCACTTTAACACGACTACCAGGGTCGTCGATATAATGAGCCCCACTTTGTGGAAACTCGCCCCTCTCATAGGAATGTGGAATTTTCCACCGCTGGCTCTGCATTGGCTGTAAACAGGCGATTAGCACCAGTGCCTCAACGTTCACTTGAGCAGTGGGAAATCACTTGGACCAGACTTCCATCTCACGAATAAAAAAATGAGCACTGTCCATTCCCGAGCCACGCAGAGTGTACGGCACTGCCGCGAAACCCCAGGGCAGTCAATGCAACAACCTCTCTGCCTCCCCATCGCTGCCAAGCGGAATTTGCCCAAAGAAAATAGCGCACCCCCCCACCGCATGTGCGCACCAGAGCCTTTTGAAAAACAAATAGTAAAGGGGAAACACATCAGAAAGCCAACACCGTGTTTTTGGTTTTTCTTTAAAGAGGCCGTGGCTTCAAAAAGAATCCTTCCCATAAAGGCATTTGAAACATCTTGGGGCCTGCCGAGAGCAGATGGAAATGGTGGCAAGGCTTTGCAGGTTGTCTTTGGCCGGCGGTTGGAAGGGGGTCATGGTGTTCCGGTGAAGCGAGGCCCCTTTAGATTCGGAGCCGTGAATTTGACTCCACGGCCCATTAGGGTCGGCGGGCACGGCGGGCGAGAGACTCCGAGCATTTGCTCGGCGCTTCACCATCAGCAGCTGCAGGAGCAATGGTCATTATCTATATTCTTTGGGCCTTTCGGTAAAGTCACGTAGATATAAAAAATAATAACAATAAAATAAAACAAAAAATATGACGTTTCGATCGCAACACAAGCAATCGTCATCAGGAGAAAAAAGGAGTGGGAAAGCCGCTGCGGCAGGCTCTTTTAAAGGTTTGAAATGGGTGAGGCCCAAGGGTCATAAACGAAGTGGGCAGGGCTAGTGATGGTAAAGTGAAAAATTTGCATGTAAATGTAAGATCTCTCCGATCTTACATTCATTCACTTTACTTTTAAAATTGTATTGTTATTTTTTTCTATCTACGTGATTTTACCGAAAGACCCAAAGAATATGAATTCCTGCAGTCACGAAAGCTTCAAGTCAAGGTCATTATCAAATCTTGATTTAAAGCTTTCGTGAGTGCAGGAATCCGTACTCTTTGGTTCTTTCGGTAAAGTCATCACGTAGTAGGTAGAAAAATTAAATAAAATAAAACAAATCACGACCGCTTGTGTTGCGATCGAAAGGTTGCGATTTGTTTTATTTAATTTCTAACTACGTGACTCTACCGAAATAACCAAAGAGTGCGGTCATGATCTATTCACAGCTGGATGAAGGCCACCTCAAGATGGCGACACGTTGCAAACAATGGACATGTTGCATTTTACAGAGCTCTGTTCGAGGCAAACTCGAGAGATTTGGACGTCAGTTTTCACGTCCAAACGAAAGTGAACAATTAACGTCGATGCTTTGCTTACTGCGCTCGTTGACTCATCCCATCAAACAATCAACTGCTTGATAAAGGCCTCTCCAAGCCATCGCCACCTCTCACTAAACCGCATTGTAACCATCTACCCAGCGCCTGCACTGGTTTCGTCGCTCCATCTCCGCAGTGGAGGTCCCTCAGGGGCGTGCGCTCCCTCCTTTGGCTGCCACTCCCTCGCAAGTCTCGACCGCCGGCCGTTGTCCCTTCTTGGCACGACGCGTGCCGCCCAGGCAAGCTCGCTTTGCTTAGAACGTCGATAGGACATCTGCGTTCTGCAATCCACGTGCCTCCTTCTGTCGTGGGGTTTCAATCCCAAGCAAGCAACACTCTTCAGTTTATACTTGGCTTTCAGTGTCCGTGGTTTTTACGCTCAAAAAGACGAAGCAACCTCAGAGGCATCACAAAGAACGACGATGATGGTGACCCAGGGGCAAGCGTTTCTCCCTTTGTAGGGAAATGTCTACCGATGGGAGAGCTTTGAAATGTTTTTTTTGGGTTGCGGTGGAATGAGAAATATAAGGAAAAGCTGTGGCTCGGATGGCAGCGAGCGCTACAGTTAGGGACAGGGTTAGTGTGAGGATGAGTGTTATTTATTGTGGCTTTTATGCCTAGAATTAGACTCAAGGTTAGCGTGAGGATGAGTGTTATTTATTGTGGCTTTTATGTCTAGAATTAAACTCAGGGTTAGTGTGAGGATGAGTGTTATTTATTGTGGCTTTTATGTCTAGAATTAGACTCAGGGTTAGTGTGAGGATGAGTGTTGTTTATTGTGGCTTTTATGCCTAGAATTAGACTCAGGGTTAGAGCGAGGATTAGGGTTGAGGATAGGACTACAGTCAAGGCTATGAACTTTGGGACAACGGCAGTGTTTGGGATTGCAGGTATAGCATTCGTAGTAGGGGTAATGTTACGGGCAAGGTTGTTGCTACCGGTGCGATTATGGCGATGAATACGGATTAGAGTTATCAAGATTAGAAAATTATTTGGTACAGTGGCCAGCACCAAAATTGTAGGCCAACAAAATAGGGTATTTCTTTAACTTATGATTCCGAATTTTCTTTCATCTGTAGAATTATTTTATATATATGCACATGTATAACAAATTTGCAACAAGACACGAGAAAATAAAAATAGATTTATTTATTTTATCTGCAACACAACAATAAAATAATTTGCTCTTTGCACACGAACGTTTCGTCCATATCTCACACTTGTACATTACTTTATTTTACTTAGAATTTTCCTTAAGGCCAGAGTGCTCAAATCACAATCATGAGGTCATGAGTTCAAATACCAGAGGTTGACCATCATCGTCATTATCATCGTCGTCGCCGTCATTCCCATGAGATCAACAATACGAGCAGCACTACTTTGTCGGAAGTCAACAGCGGTCATCCCATGGAGTCACGGGCCCCTACCATGGTAACGTGGAATTTCCAGCACGACCTCAGTTGGCAGCAATGGAGATGAGTTTGTATGACCTAGAAAATACGATGCGTCCGGCGTCACACTCGGCTCATCGTCGTCATCGTAATTCATCATTTAAGCCGCGCCTCCGGTGCGGTACACGTTGACTCTCACTGCGGAAGTCTCGCCATGCGGGACGCCCCGGTGGCAGCTGTCTCTCCGCGGCGAAGGGTGAACGCGCAGCGGCGGCTTGCGAGTTGGCATTCGTGAAGCCAGTAGGCGGCGGTGGGGCGATGTTGCCACGCGACTCGTTGGATGTCACCGCTAGCAGTCGGTCCTGGAGCACGTGGAGTAGATGCCGAAGATGGCGACGCTGTCCGCGATGAGCAGCGCGTACAGCACCCTGTGGTTGTGCAGCACCCAGTGGCGCCCGGCGCAGCGCAGCTGCGCCACGAGCAGCGCCGCAAAGCCGCACGCGTTGGCGAGCAGGAATATCCGCGCGTACGGCACGGGCGCAACGGCGGCCGCTCGGCGCTCCGACCGCCCCGCCGCCTCCGGCTCGTTCCGGAAGCCTCCCCCTGGGGCCGCGGCGGCCACGGCCGCGTCGGCCGGCCCGGGCCGCAGCTCGGGCAGCCGGTCGCCCCGACCCCGAGCGCCGCCTTCCCCGGGCGTCGATGGAGGAGCCGCGTCGTCCTCCTCGCCATCCTCGCCCGGGTTCAACTCCCAGCGCGGGAGGCCCCGGTCGTGCATCTCGGCCGTGTCGATGAAGTCCGAGTCACCGAAGTCGGCGCGCAGGTTGTTCTCCTGCGCGGGTTTGCGTGCCGCGTCACCGCCGTGGTCACCGTCGTCGCGGGTTCTGCTCGCGCGCGGGCGCTTCGGGGGCCTCTCCCGGTTGCCGCCGCCGCCGCTCCCGCGTTTCTCCGCGGTCCTCCGGGAGCCACCCCGAGGTCGGTTGCCCCCAGGCGGCCCAGGCGGCCCAGGCTTCCGGGGGTTCCTGCGCTCGTCGAGTTCCCTGAAGGTGTCCCTCAGCCTCTCCAAGGTCCTGTCGACGGCGGCCTCGTAATCCTCGACGGCGGCCTCGTCCTCCGCGGGGCGCTCCTCCGGGAGCTCCGCTCCACCGTCGAAAAACACCGTGTTCCTGTCCGTGGACACCATCGCCACGGCACCGCCGTGACCGACGCCGCCGCCGGCGCCGCCGTCGGTGGGCGCCGTGGCCTCGTCGGTGCGCAGGTAGACGGTGTAGAGCACCGAGTTGGCGATGACGTACACCGTGACGGAGTCGTTGCGCGGGATGACCTTGAGGCTGCGCAGCGACAGCGACGGCCCTAGGAAGACGAAGGCGGCGCGCGTCACGGCCCCGCGCAGGGGCGTCACCACGCTCGCCAGGTAGCTCCCCGCAAACGAGTGGTTCGACCGGAAGGGGCTGTCGCTGAGCTTTCCGCGCGCGCTCACCCCGGCGTCGTCCACCCAGAACATCCGGCACGCCTCCGCGGTAACGCCGCCGCCGTCGCCGCCCGCCGGCGCCGCCACCGCCGCTCCGTTCAGCGCCCCCACCGCCACGGGGCGGAATCCGGCGTCCACGTTGTTGAAGAACGCTCGCATGCGGGAGGCGCGCGAGCCCGGGCGCCGCCGCACGTGATCGACGACGAGCAGCAGGTCGGGCCGCAGCAGCAGCGCGCTCCGCTGCACGCTGGCGAGCCCCAGCGCCGCGTCGTAGGCCCCCGCGGCCTCCCCCCGCGCGAACACCACGCCGCCGCGCTCCTGGGCGCGCTCCAGGCGGCCGTGAGCGTCGCCCGCGGCGCCGCGCTTGTAGCGCATCCACTTGGAGTCGCAGCTCTCCGTCACCTGGCCCTGCCACGGCGGGAAGCACACGTCCGGAGCGGCGGGCGGGGAGAACATGAGGCCGTTGTTGAGGAAGGTGTACTTGGGCCCGTAGAGGGCCTCCGTCACGCAGGCCGCCGGCGGCGGCGCCGCGCCGCCGCCCCCGCCGCCGGCGCCGCCGCGGCTCGGCACGAACACGAACGAGTTCTGGTCCGGGTGCTCGTGGCCCGGGTTGAAGTTGCGCCAGCCGTGCACCCAGGCCGCGTAACGCTTGGCGTGAACGATGTCGTAGATGGCGCGCCCGCCGATCTTGCCCGACTTGAATGAGAAGAAGGAGGCGTTGGCGCCCGCGGGCTGCGCCGCGCCGTAGGTCGCCACGCCCCAGTCGTGGAAGATGTGGAGCCGCGGTGAGCCGAAGTCCGGGGGCGGCCGCGGGGTCAGCGACGCGTCGAACCTGCGCGGCTCACGAGGGAACGACACGGGGAGGCCTGCGCTCGATCCGCTGGACGTCGAGGCGGAGGTCGGAGGGTTTCGGAAGCGGCGTGGCGCGGCTCACAACGTGATTTGACCCCGGTGGCTGTGGGTAGGAGGCTGTGGAGGGAGAGGCTGTGGAGGGTGGGCCTGGGGCGGTGGGGGGGTGCTGTGGGGTTGGTGTCTCACCAGATGAACTCTGTGTGCAGCGTGGTCCAGCGCTGGCTGCGGGAGGGTGCCCCGGGTCCCGCCGCCGGCCGGTGCTTGCGGATCATGTCGGCCAGCCAGTTGCCGCTGCCATTGCGCATCACAAAGGCGTCGAGGAAGGCCAGTTGGCTCTCGGGGCCGTAGAACCAGTTGTAGTTCGAGTCGGCGATCCCGACCGTGCGCTGGAAGCCTGCGGCAGTCACACGCTCCTTCAGTTAGCACGGCTTTCCTGCTCCATACAGATCGATTCAACAATCCTATCCTGGCCACCCTGCAGCCCAAGCCTACGTATGATGTGGCACTCCCAGGCATTCTCCCATCCACATAATAACCAGACTTAACCCCGACTTAGCGTCTCGAGATCCGACCGGATTGGGCGCATTTAGGGTGAGATTTGGCCATCGCGGTGTTGGCGTAGTGACTCAGGAAAGCTGCCAAGCGTCGCCAATTCCATCCAGATGATCCCAGCCACGCACCGCCCAATTACATACCGACGCGTTCGGTCCCACCGTCGTGTGCAGATTTCGCCTGCGCGCGCGAGTGGCATTGGCACGGGCCCCTAGGTGCGAGCAATGAAATGGGGCCCAGCCGTATCCAATTAGCACGTCGTCCGCCAATGTTGACCCAAGCCGGCACCACTGCCAGGGCCCTCCAGGCCGGCCGCCAGCGCTCGGTGCCGGCTCGCCGCGCTCTGCCCAGGGCGGGGCTGCCTCGGGGCCCTCCGGGCCATGGGCCACCCCGGTGCAGTTGCACCGCCTGCACGCTCGACAACTCCGCCACCGACATTTGGTTCGCGTCGGTCCACAGGCCTCCATGTAGAACGGTGGGATGCTAAACGGAGTGAGCTCGGATGCGGGGCCACTTTTGTCCATCATCCACCTGACCCACTCGCCTGACCACTAACCTGACCACTCACTCACTCATCACTCACTCACTCATCACCCACTCACTTGCTCATTCATGCTAACACCTTGCCCTCCCTCCCCGCCCCTCTTCCCCCCGTCACCCACCTCTGCCCACCCCCCCGGCCACCTCTCGCCCCATCCACCTGGACAGTGCCTACGTGTAGCTAAGGTCGCTTCTGAAAAAAGAGCTATATAGCTCAGTGGGCCTTACCTGGCAAAATTTTTTAAAAAGTTTAGTTTTAGGAGGGGAGGTGGGGGGTGGTGAGGGCGGTGGGGGGGGGGGGGGTGTTGTGGTGCTTAGACCCCCACTCCCCACCCGCCCCCCGGCGTACCGGGCAGGATGGTGCGGTAGAGGAAGGCGAAGTGCTGCCGCAGCCAGGGATGGCCGGTGTGGTCGACGGCGAGGTGGCGCAGCAACAGGTGGACGTACTGCAGGAGCGAGCGCGTCGAGTAGGAGGCGTACGCGACGCCCTCGTGCAGGGAGCCGTCGCGCACCTCGCGCAGGAGCAGCAGGGCTCGCTCCATCACCAGCACCGCCTGGCTCAGCCACAGGTAGGCGTCGTTCAGGTGGCCTGCGGCGGCGGCGGTGAGAGGGGCGGGGAGCAGGGAGAGATTGGGTGCGCGAGGGGCGGGAGAGGTATGAGGTGATTGAGCGAGGAAGTGAGCGATGAGGTCAGTGAGAGGTCACATGAGTAAGCGGGTGATAAGGTGGATGAGTGAGCGAGTGATTGGATCGGCGAGTGAGTGATAAGGTGGATAAGTTAGTGATTGGATGAGCGAGTGATTGGATGAGCGAGTGGGTGGTAAGGTGGATGAGTTAGTGATTGGATGAGCGAGTGATTGGATCAGCGAGTGAGTGATAAGGTGGATGAGTGAGTGATCGGATGAGCGAGTGACGGATAAGGTGGATCAGTAAGAGACGAAGTGAGTGAACAATTGGAGAAGTGAATGAGCAGAGGAGCGAGTGATGAGGTTTTTCTTTCTGGGCCACACGTTTGCTGCCGACAAATGCGTTGAGCCGCTGTTAATGTGCGCACGTTGTGAATGTTACCCCACAGTGCATCGTGGGTATTTTTCTTGGGGCACTCCGCTTTTACTCCCACACGCGGGAGCGCTCATTAAAAAGGAATTGGTCAAAAAACATTTGAAATGGCGGGAACCCTCGTGGAAAAACAAAGTAAGTGTGAAGAGCCCCGCTTGAGGCTCTCCATATTATTATTATTATTCAGAATTCCTCTGCGGCGTAGGCGGAAGCAAATTGAAGTTTAGTGGAGAATGTGGCAGGAAACTGTCACGCAGGTTTTCCCCGCTCGCTAATTGTAAACAAACAAACCGTAACGCTGCCGAAATCATCGCAGTTTATTTCAATGGATGTAATAATTTCACGCGACTTGTCGCGTAATGTTGCGACGACGTTGGTTTTCACGTCACCGCGGTTGCAACCTGTCCTGGTTTTCCGCAAGGCTGTCCGATTTTTTTAGGTGCATGTCCCACGGTAAATCTGTAACTCTTCCCCTTTGGGAAAGCCGTGACGCTTTCCGGAACGTTGAAAGCTCAATTCTTTCTCGGTAATTACTGGCGAAACATCGTAATCAGATTGTAAATGTTGTAGATTTGCTCTCCAACACACCGGTGTGCTGTACTAGTAACAAATTGGCACGTTCGGTTTACCTGACAAACCCCTTACTCATTGGCCGTGTCGGGTGGTGGCGGGTTTAACGACACATTCATATATTTTACGCGATCTAACCCAACAAAGCTATATTATTATGGATGATATTAGTCGCGAAAGCCTCCTCCTACGTGTTAAACTTTATAATAATGTTCACATTGTGCATCTCAAAATCGCTGACGGAACACGGACAAAGCTGGAAGGCAGCAGCCAGGCGGTGAGCCGGCACTCGCAACAACTGCCCGAGCTCTGCAGTCCTCTATATATTGGGACGTTTTCAGCCCAAGTGACGAGGGAGGAAACCGGAGCACCCGGAGAAAACCCACGAGTACGAGCGGGCAACGCTCTATCCCATTCAGATGGGACAGATGGAGATTAGTCCACACTTTGCTGTCCCGCATTCTCCTGGCGAGTCAGGGTAACGGCTCCTCCTGGACCCCCCCACGGGAAGGGAGTTTCTCAAACAACATTTGTGTGTGCGGCGGATCCACCAACCCTCACTGCTGCCTCCACACACAGTGCTGGCTTACAGACAGCAGCCACATGCACCAGTGGAGTCGCCACCGCCCGCCACGAGAGACCGCTCCAGCCCCACGATGCGTCCGAGACTTTTGGAAGCTCAGAGGTGGCAACCCTGCATCTTCAAAGCCCCCCCACCCCCACCAAAAAAAAAAATCTGTTCACGTTCCCCCAATCCGCTGGCCCTCATCCAGCAGCATATAGACCACGGATGACGGCGTTGGGATCACGGCGTTGGGGCAGCTTATTTCAATGACCGGGAAATATTACTCCGTCCATCTGTGTGCAATCTGCTTGGCTAAAGACATTTCACTCAGTGAAAAGAGTGGTTCAGGCACCTGGCAAGGATGCCTCCCAGTAGACTCCCCCCTGGACTTCTACGGGGCAACAGCACGTCCCACTGGCGAAGACCCCGGGGCCAGCCCAGGACACGCTGGCGGTGGGACAATGTCGCTCAGCTGGCCTGGGAACGCCTGAGAATTCCCCAGGAATAGCGAGACTATGTGTATAGTAGTGTAGTGTATAGTGTAGTAGTGTATAGTAGTGTAGTAGTGTATGGTAATGTAGTGCTGGAGTCTGTCTACTCAACACGCTGCTGCCGTGACCCTCACCGGGACAAGCAGATTGAGAAACTAACGAACGGAGCCCCTAAACTAGTAGTAACAAAACCGTACAGCTGACCGACATAATTGGCGACGACGACGACGACGAGGATGGAGCGTTACCCTGGGCCATGACGACGAGGCCGGCGGTGAGCAGCGCCACGCAGTTGGTCGGCTGGTGGTTGTGCAGGTACTGCTGGCCCCAGCCGCGGTCGAACGAGCGCTCGTACATGTAGCCAGCGGCCGCCACGATCGCGTCCAGGTAGAGGGAGCGGCGCGCGGGCCCCAGGCGCCCGTGCAGGAGGTCGAAGGCGGTGGCGAAGCCGACGAGGGAGTGGGCCATGGGCACCTCGTCGGCCGGGTCGCCTCGCACCAACCTGGTCGTGCGCGCGGTTTGTTTAAAGACGATTGGTCGGCTGAGAAATTGCAGAGATCATACATCGACGGCTCTTTTTTTTGTAGGCGGTTAATCGGGTCCCTTCAAAAATGTGCCCCTGCCCCCATCCAACAACAACAAGCGCCGTAACGACGGCGCTTGTGCCAGGCTATGTGCGCGTTGAGGCGACGCTCAAAGTCAACGGCCGAGTTCGCTGTCGAGTCTGCGGCTTGCGGCCGGCGAGTCCTCGAAACAACGGATCAATTGAGGCGTGCGGAGCCATGGCACGTCCATTTCACGCGTCGGTTTTTTCGCCACCGATATTCTCATTCACGATTGTTTTTTTGTGTGTGTTGGGGTTAGATCGCGTAGGTATACAAGTGTCTGTTTCTGTTTAAACTCTAACAAGGGCTCAGCTCGCGGGGAGAGCCTACGGTGCCAGCGACGTAATCTCTGGCGAAACGTCGGACAAAGTTGTCAACATATTTTGCTCGGGGAATTTTCAACGTAAGCCGGTGTTTGCTGATAAAAAAAAAAATTTGCCAATGACGTAGCAACTCGATTCTGGAGTGGCTCTGTCGTTGGGTGATGGAGGTTTGGAGTAAAATTTTGACACGATTACCGTCTGTTCTCTGCGGTGGTAGCAGTTGCGTTCCTGAAGAACACCGCGTTATAGAAAGAGCTCGTGATAATAAATCACATGTAATGTTTAGTAAAGCACAGTCCGCGATAACGCCGTCAGATGCTGAACAAAGACTGAGGTGCCTGGGTAGCATCTAGAAGCATCCAGCAGCATCCCAACGGCTTGTGCGACGCTACGCCGAGGAAGCTCTACAACCAATCATTCCTGCTCCCGCTGCGATGTAGTTCTGTTCACTCGATGGCGTTACATCCAATTCGCATCCGCGTTATAAAAAAACATCCGTTTCCTCGCCTTATATCTCCAAATCGCGTTGTGAGAACACACGTGAAGCGGAACTGACTGCACCTGCATGACGATCTAAACCCGAAAGAAACTACTCCAATGATGAATTACATCCATTTTCTTAACAAACCCCCAATTATTTCCAACGAAGACCAAATGTGACCCGTTTATAGCAACTTGCGATGTTTACTTGTCCGAGTTATTGTCTCCCTATCGGCCTGCCTCGGCGTGTGCGCTTGCAGGCCGCGTGCAATGTCTCCGCATGAATAGTGGTCACTGAATAGCGCCAGCGCTAAACCGTGCCACTGGTAAACTGGCACTGGACTGGCACGTGGCCATCCATGCGCAGCGTGGAGATGCAGCTGACAGCAGCAAGTCCGTGCGATTTTAACATTTCCAATAAATCCCTTGCAAGCAAGGCTTGGTGTCAGTGGCGTAGTAACGACATTGTCAGCTAAGGGGGTGCGGCAATCGGTCAGGTGGGTGCCCCGATATTTGAGTTGTCTCTTTGCACGGTGGCACCTGGAGGCGATGATATATCGCGGCTCTTGTTGCCGAATCGCATCGTTACGCTCACGGTCTGGAACACTTAATGCTGTAGGGGCGCTCCGTCTCCGCAACTAAAGTTCGTTGTCCTTTTACCCTCCATAATAGAGGTTTTTGGGTGAGACCGCGTGAATGTAAATGTGCCGTTAAACCTGCCACCACCCGACACAGCAAATCGGTAGGGGTTGTCACGTCAACAAATCATGCCAATTCGTTACTATAGCAACACCCGTGTGTTGGAGAGTAAACCCGCAACAGTAATTACAACCAGCATCTTCAGGCGAGAGTTGTGGAGAAATCCCGGCCTTAAATAGAGCGGGTAAATGTGATGCGGTGGCTTGCGAGCCAATCGGGCGATCAAGTTTGTCAACACAGTTGTCAATGGGGCCCCCCCAACTCGTAGCTTTGGGGGGGGGGGGGTCAAAGCCCCCCCTCCTCCACTGAGCACACGCCACGCGACTGCGCGGGTGCATGTCCATAATAATGTCCAGGCCACGCTTTGTCCGGCAACCCGCGGCCGCTCCGCCACAGACGGATCTCGTTGTGGTTTCGCGAGGCGACGGCCACAGCGGCGATCGATGGACACCGGCGGTGTCCCGCAGGGGGCACGTGGCGGGGCCGCGGTGCGGCACGGCGGGGGCCGGCCACGTGCGGGTTGGCGAAAGAAGCTCAACGCGTGCATGCGTGGAGAAGTAGCAACAGACGAAGAAACCCCCAGCCCCCCCACCAACCCCAGCCTTTGACAGGCGGCCGTGGCGAGTCGCTATGAGCGAGGAGCACCGATGGAGATCCGGCCACGCCCGGCCCCAACTTTGCCTCCGCGGTGCCGATGTTTGCACGGCCGCACGAGGTTCTCATTTCTGGCCGAATCGACCCAAGAGAGGGCCCAACCAGGACCGTTTCAGGTGTTCGCCAATTGTTGTTGTTGGTCATGGTCGGGAATGGAACTCGGTTCGCCGACACGCACAGAGGCAACGCACACGTGCAGGCACTCACAAACATCGACAAGCTGAGACACGTAAACAAAGACAAAGATCACCCGTGTAGCCTCAACAGGCTGTTGGGGCAAGTGCTGTTAGCGAGTAGCACCACCTATGAAGGCCGGTACGGCACACGAGGGGGGGTGGGTGGCCAGCACCACGCCCGGCCGCCTTTGTCTCCCTCGTGGCGATGTTTCATACATCGCACCAGGTACTCATTTGAGGCTGAGTAGACCTAGGGGAGGCCCAGGACCGGATCAGATAATCGCCACTGGTGTTGGACGTGAGCGGGAATCGAACTCGGGTCGCCAGGTTCATAACGCAGCGTAACGCTAACCGTTACGTGACACAGTACACACACACACAGTACACACATAGCACACACACACACAGCACACACACAGTACACACACACAGCACACACACAGTACACACACACAGCACACACACACACACAGTACACACACAGTACACACACACAGTACACACACAGTACACACACACACAGTACACACACAGCACACACACACAGTACACACGCACACAGCACACACACAGTACACACACACAGTACACACACATAGTACACACACATAGTACACACACACACAGTACACACACACCAGCTGGGCTGCACCGCCATCGCGTCCATGTAGTGCAGGGCGAGGTGCAGGGCGCGCGTGTGGTTGGGGTAGAGGAAGCAGTAGAAGGAGAGGGCCCCCAGGTTGTTCCCGAAGGCTTCGTTCCACTGCGCCGAGAAGAGCGACGGCTCCCGTGGCGGCACGAAGTCGCGGGGCGCCGCGAGCATCTCGCGGGCGGCCTCCCGCAGCCGGGCGGCGTGCGGGGCGTGCGACGCCGCCGCGCGCCTCCTCATCGCCTGCGCCTCCTCGGCGCCGAAGAACAACATCGGGTGGCTGCTGGCAGCTCGCACGGGTCCGCTGGTGGTGCCGTCAGTCCGCGGTGGACGGGGATTGGGAGGTGGAGGTGGTGGAGTGGACGTGGGTGACGGTGATGGGTTGGCCGAGACGCCGGCGAGAGCAGCGGCCGCGTAGGAGAGGATGAGGATGATGATGAGCAGGAAGAGGCGATGGTGATGATGGTGGTGGTGGTGGTAGCTCAGGGTGGTGGTGGTGGTGGAGCGAGCGGTCGAGTCTCGCGGTGGAGACATCAACGCAGACGGCGGAGTACCCAGGAGCATGGCTTACTTTGGTAAAAACACAAAAAAGGAAATATAATATAATTATTATTCTAGCCCCTGGCGCTGCCAAGACTTTCCCTACGTCATCCGTGGGATGCGTGGTTTACGCGCGTGCTTGAGTTTAAAGGAAAAAAAGGAATATTTAAATAAAGATTTTTTTGAAAAAAAAATTGGAAGTGCAAATATTTCACGCGGGGTTTTGTTGTTGTTGTTGAGTGTGAACAATAATGGCGCAAACGTTGAGCCGAACGATCCCAGCACGCACCTCCACCGCCTTCTCAGGACGTCTCACGCCGCACGTTGCTGAGGTAGCAAGGCAGCTCCGCACGCCACGCATCCCCACCGCTCTCTCTTCCTTCCCCACCGCTCTTTCTTCCTTCCCCACCGCTCTCTCTTCCTTCACCGCCGCTCTCTCTTCCTTCCCTACCGCTCTCTCTTCCTTCCCTACCGCTCTCTCTTCCTTCCCCACCGCTCTCTCTTCCTTCCCTGCCGCTCTCTCTTCCTTCACCGCCGCTCTCTCTTCCTTCCCCACGGCTCTCTCTTCCTTCCCCACCGCTCTCTCTTCCTTCCCCACCGCTCTCTCTTCCTTCCCCACCGTTCTCTCTTCCTTCCCCACCGCCCTCTCTTCCTTCCCTGCCGCTCTCTCTTCCTTCCCCACCGCTCTCTCTTCCTTCCCCACCGCTCTCTCTTCCTTCCCCACCGCTCTCTCTTCCTTCCCCACGGCTCTCTCTTCCTTCCCCACCGCTCTCTCTTCCTTCACCGCCGCTCTCTCTTCCTTCCCTACCGCTCTCTCTTCCTTCCCCACCGCTCTCTCTTCCTTCACCGCCGCTCACTCTTCCTTCCCTACCGCTCTCTCTTCCTTCCCCACCGCTCTCTCTTCCTTCCCCACCGTTCTCTCTTCCTTCCCCACCGCCCTCTCTTCCTTCCCTGCCGCTCTCTCTTCCTTCCCCACCGCTCTCTCTTCCTTCCCCACCGCTCTCTCTTCCTTCCCCACCGCTCTCTCTTCCTTCCCCACGGCTCGCTCTTCCTTCCCCACGGCTCTCTCTTCCTTCCCCACCGCTCTCTCTTCCTTCACCGCCGCTCTCTCTTCCTTCCCTACCGCTCTCTCTTCCTTCCCCACCGCTCTCTCTTCCTTCACCGCCGCTCTCTCTTCCTTCCCTACCGCTCTCTCTTCCTTCCCCACCGCTCTCTCTTCCTTCACCGCCGCTCCCTCTTCCTTCCCTGCCGCTCTCTCTTCCTTCCCCACCGCTCTCTCTTCCTTCCCAGCCGCTCTCTCTTCCTTCCCCACCGCTCTCTCTTCCTTCCCCACCGCTCTCTCTTCCTTCCCCACCGCTCTCTCTTCCTTCCCCACCGCTCTCTCTTTTTTTACGATCAGAAGAAGCAAGAAGATGCTCGGTGTAGTCGGCACTTTGCTCCGTTCATCATTTCGTTTTTTTTAATGCTTTGCTTTATGTAACCCCCCCCCCCCTTTTAAATGAAAGACCCACATTTGTTTTTCTTTTTTCTTTCCCCTTCCCTCTCTCTCTACCCCCGCTCTCTCTCTCTACCCCCCTCTCTGCCTCTCTTCTCTCTCTACCCCTTCTCCGCCCCCCCTCTCTCTCTGCCCCATCTCTTCCTACTCCATTTGGCTCTCTCGCTCTCTCTTTTTTCTTTATAACTACGACAAGTGCTGCATCTGCACGCAGCCCTTCCCACAGTCAAACGGCCTCCGACGGGTAGCTTAGATCTGCATGCAGAGCTCTCCGTCATCTGCCACCGAGCACACGGCCTCCTCCAGCGCCCACTGCTCCTTGAAGGCCGGCACGGCGTGGGTCAGCCGCGCGTGGCGGAACTCCGGCCACACCCTGGCTCTGACCAGAGCGCGGAAGATGCCCAGGCTGCTGGCCGGACGTTGCCCCTCCAGGGCCCTCCTTCCTCGCCCTGTATATGGCGAGCTTGGCGTAGCCGAAGAGCAACGTTGACCAGCCCCTGAAGATGTTGGGGTCCGTCGCCCTTCCCCACCGCTCTCTCTTCCTTCCCTACCGCTCTCTTTTTTACGATCAGAGGAAACAAGAAGATGCTCGGTGTAGTCGGCACTTTGCTTCGTTCATCATTTCGTTTTGTTGTTTTTTTCAATGCTTTGCTTTATGTGCCTCCCCCCCCCTTTTATATGAAAGATTTCACGCTCTGCTCTCCTTCTTACCCCTTCCCTCTCTCTCTACCCCCTCTCTCTACCCCCCTCTCTCTCTACCCCCCTCTCTCTCTACCCCCTCTCTCCCTACTCTATGTCTATGTCCCCCCTGTTTTCTACGTAATATTTTTAAAGTTTTTTTTAACAAGTGCTGCTGCACCTGTCCTACGGCCTCCGACGGTAGCTCAGAGCTCACGCAGAGCTCTGCGCTAGCGTCTTCTGCCAGGGATATACAAGACGGGCAAAACAAGCCGTATGCTGAAGACAGAAGACGAGAGAAGCTCAAGCCGGACCCGCCAAGCTAGTCAAGAGTATTCTTGGGCGAGAGTAGTCCTTACTCTTTGGTTCTATTCGGTAAAGTCACGTAAAAAACAACAAAAAATAAAAATTCACGACGTTTCGGCCACACCACAAGCGGCCTTCATCAGGTGAAGGGACCAGACTGTCTAGAGGACAGCGCTGGAGTGAACACAGCCAAGCTCAGACCGCGACCTTTAAGGTGTGTGAGAGGAAGCAGAGTGCCTTGACAAAGGAATTAGCATAAAAAATAGCATTTAATTGGCGGACTTAGCATGATGAACGATGCACAGGGGGGAGCATGTGCAGACCGGCGAGGGGGGGGAGGGGAGAGTTTACATATTGATGGTGTGAAAAGGGAATTTAAGCAGCTGCGAAAGTTTGGGATACCACTACTTGAAAAAATATACTGTACCATTGAAAATTAGTTTAATGTTTGGTTTGATTCAGAACATCTTTCCAATGGTTGCTTAATTTGAAACCATCCTCTCGGTTGAAATTGTGTCTGTGTTTGTAAATCTGAATTGCCTCGTGAACAAATCACTGATAAAAACTCGTGGGTTTGCAAAGAACCTTGATATCGGAGAAAATTATATCGTGATCACCCACAGCGTTGTAACAGTGGTCAGCTACGGCAGAAGAATTCGTTCTGCCATGTTTCAAATCTGATTTGTGCTCGCGAATTCGGTCAGAGACATGTCGTTTCGTCTCCCCGATATAGCAGTCACCACAGGTGCAGATCAATTTGTAAACTCCGGGGTACTGTAAGTCAGGAATGACATCCTTCACGGAAGGGATCAGGTCACGGATTTTGTGTACTGTATTGAACCGGACCAGGATCTTGTGTCTGTTTAGAATTTTGGAGGTCTTTTTAGTAACGCCTGCTATATATGGTAGTGTGATGGTTTTGATTGGAGTATCAAGTTGTTGTTTCTGTATGGAGGGAGAAACAGCTTGGCGGATGGTACGGTCAGAGTATCCATTCCTTTTGAGGGCCAGATGTACATGAGTAGTCCTGTGTGGACCTGCGTAGGCTAGAATTGGGTCGCTCGGGGCAAGCGCAGTCCGAGCGTCGGCACGCTTGGCCGTGTCCCGCTGAGACAGCGAGACACGGCAGCCGAGAGGGGTGAGAAAAGGAGAGAATAGGATAGGGACGGGGCGAGTGAGGGAGCGAACGAGCGACGGACGGCGGATCCTCGGCATAACTAAACAATTGTTTTTTATATATATAAAGAACTCTCATAAAGTGGCCCAGAAAGAAGACAAGAAGTCATCCGCCTTTATTTACAACACTACACACATGCACTCATTCAAAGTGACACCGAAGCACCGTGCTTTGCAGACTGCGAGCCCCACTCGACCACAAGGATCCGTCTCCATACCTACATCAGCCACCAATTCTCTCCACTGCTGGATGGGAAAATGTATTTCCGCTCACATATATCGTGCGCGGCGTTGGCACTTATAATATATATCCTGTGGGTATCACTGCATACGGGTCCATAGCTTTGATTACGTGGCCACAATCGCGCCGCATTACATTAACTGTGGCTTCTCTTTAATTTTACAATTACTCCAGGGGGCGTTGAGAGTTATCGCAGGGCTTTCCAGCTTGGCAATTTCGGGACACCACTCCCTCCCCACCCCTCCCGCTCGTGCCGTGTGGGGGTGTCGGTTTGCAAATTCATCAGCGACCGCAGATTATTGCGCACGGATTCCATCCACTGCTCCGGTCACCACCACATTCTTGTGGTGCGCGCGCGTGCGTGCGCAAAGTTTACCAATCGGCCCCGCAGCCCCACCCCGCCCCGAGCGATCTTCATGCGCGATGTGGCCTCCTCGCTCCCCGCTGCTTCTCTTCGCGCGAGAAGGTCGCAGGCGTAGAGGACGCGTGGCGTTGAAGGGGTGAAGGGCAGGGGGCCTCAACGCCAGAAACAGCCCCCCCCCCTAGACAGATGATCGTGCGTTGTCCATGAGAGGGTGGCCAGGGAAAGAGCTCAATCAAATCTGGGATCGAACTTTTTTTAAAATCTCATCTGTACACAAACAACAATTTTCCCCAGTATAGCCTTGACAGGCTGTAGGGGCAAGTGCTGTTAGCGAGTAACACCACCTATGAAAGGCCGGCACGGCACACGAGCGGGTGGGTGGCCAGCATCACGCCAGGCTGCCTTTGTCTCCCCAGTGGCGATGCTTGCACATCGCACCAGGTACTAATTTCAGTTTGAGTCGACCTAAGGGAGGCTCAGGACTGGTTTCAAGAAAATCGTCACTGGTGGTGGCCGTGAGTGGGAATCGAAGTTCGCTAACAGCTCCACTGCCGCTCACCGGGCGTGCCACACCGCCAGCTAAAACACGTCTCTGCACGTTGCCCCAGGGTGTGGATTGTCTCTCTTTCCCAAGAAATGCCACGTGTCCTGGTTTTGCTCCACGACTGTCCATCCTTATGTGGAGGATGAGGAGATAGCTGCCAGTCCTGGGAAAATAAATATAACATCTGTATATTTTTACCCGCTTGACAACAAGGCAAACTAAAACATATTTTGGCAGTTGTGTAGAAATGTTGACGTGTGGTTTCACCCCTTTCGCTCGGCTGTTTTTCAGATGCAGTTTGCCTCTGCCCATCATATGTCCCGAATTTTTGTACAAGAGGTGGCAACCCTATTCTCCCACCCAACCCCCACACACAATCCTCCAGCAAGCTAAGCACGCGTGGGCCTGGAGAGGGCCTGGATGGGCGTGACCACGGTGCAGACGACGGGAGTTGTACAGGCAGCAGAGGGCTGTGAAGACAAATCTATTGGGAGGTTAAGAACAATAAATAACAGTGCACTCGTACACACGCAAACAGCGTTGCAGATCTATTGAAAACAATCGCCATCAGCAGTGACCGCTCCGCGCGTCTCCGTTTCGCCGGTGTCAATTGTGCCGCAGTTCGTTCT